TAGGGGAGAGGTGTCTGGGTTCCCTGCTGTATGAGTAATATGCTTATATAAGATACATTGTTGTAAAAACGTCATTTCCATGGGAAAAAAATAACTAGGTGCCTCAAAAGTTAGAACTTCAAAGGAGTTTCAACCACATTATATACAGCTGAAAGATGCAAAGAAACTGGAGGCAATGAAAGAACAACAATTTTTATGAAAGTGTAGGATTTAGTCTTTATAAAGGAAGATGAAAGAAAATTGTGCATTTAGGCTGGATAAGAGGTTGCAAAGAAAGAACTTAATGAATTATCGAGTACATAAAGGGACAATACATGGCCAGTAATAACTAGCTTTTATCTGTTGCTTCTGAGGACGTAAAAAAGAAAAGAAATTTAAATTGTAACAAGAGAACAGTAGAGAAAATAGCTAGTTCCAGGATCTGTTACCACAAAAAGGACTAGAACTAAAATTCTGTCTGGAGATTAAATTTTAAAAAGGCAAAACTATCAGAGATAGAGGAGAAGGTGCAATGCTACTTAACTCGAGGGTAAATATAGTAATTACTATATAAAATATAATAATTATTACTCATAAACCAATAACTCTGTATTAGGCCCTCTCCTAGCACTCTATGCCATCTCAGTTAATCTGCATAACCATTTCATAGGTACTAAGCATAATCTCCATTTTTATACCTGACAAAACCAAGGCTTTGAGTGGTTAAATAGTTTGTCCGAGATAACAGCACTAGTAGGTGGTAGCCCTGCAATGTCAAATCTATGACCTTCTGGCTTCAGAGCCTCTGTCCTTTGCATTATACTGTATTGCCTCTAGGTTGCAGTGACATGTCTTTTCACTGTTGCCTTTCCTTTCTATTATCAATTGTTTTTCAGTTTAGATTCCACATATCCTTTTCCCCAAAGGGAATAATCTCAGCCTAACAGCTGGATTATAGTGACCAGCTGGTTATATTAGCAACCACATGTACACCTCTGCTCAGTATGGATTTTCTTTCTTTTGAGCCACACTGAAATTAAGTTGGGGCAAAGATGAGAAAGGAGGTGAGGAACAAAATATCCATCTTTCTTGACTGGAATGTAATAGCTACACTGTAGTACAGACATATACACACACACACATTATGAGAAACATATATGGAAAGATCCAGGGCCTTACCAAAACATAAGTTAAATTAGGCTGTAACTAAATGCATATTGACTTATGAGGGCTGGTACAAATAGCATATTAAAAGGGATGAGCATACACTGGTAGTCCAAACAAGGTCAGTCCTTCCAAAAAGCAATGTTAACTGTAGTGTCCTAAAGTGGTATGGGGGAAAAACAACAACTTGGAGATCAGGAATGAGACCAAGTAATTTCCTACTGACCAGGAATCAGTGTATAGTCAACACCATCTACCACAGTCAATCAGTAATTCAGGGGGAAAAATGCACAAAAACCATATTCTTTTTTTTGGTGGCACCTAATTCAAATCATGACTAAATTTCTAGCAATCATTCCAATCTAGTGTGCATTCATTTAAAGAGCACCTACTTTGGCACAGTGGGGGAAATAAAGATAAATGAAAAAGAGTATCTGTCTTAAAGAGTTTATGCATTGATACGGACGATAGTACATGCGCACAAATAACAAAAAACAGAAGTTGACGTGGTGATAAATGCTCCCAGTGAAGCACAGGTTAAGTGCTGAGGAGTCTTAGAGTAGAGACAGGTTTATTTCTAGCTTGCAGGATTTAAAAACGTTTCATGGAAGTGGCATTTAGACTGGATTTTGAAGGATAAGCAGGATTTATGGGTGGAGAAATTAGGGACGGAAGTGGGAAGGCAGAAAAGAAAGGCCTTCCAACTACTACTTATCAAAATGTGACCTGAGGACGGCCTGCAATAGAATCTGAGGAAGCTGCGTTTGTGCTAGGTCTTGAAGGACTAGCAGGATTTCCACAGGCAGGGATGGAGAAAAAGAATTTTCCAGAAAGAGGAAACATTTTCTCCATCCCACCTGTACATGTGCAGTTGTTACTTAGGCAGCCCTTTTGTCTCCTTTTTCTCACAGTTCCTTATCATGAAATGCCACCACTCATTCATCCCAAACTGGTTGCCATATGGTTGGACTTAGATGCTTTAACCAATCAGAAACTGAAATTGGTTGCTTTTCCATTGGTTCACTGAGGTTTCAGAATTTTAATAGGCTCAATTTAAGTGCACTAAACTCAGATTAAAAAGAAAAAAAAAGAAAACCATGGTTCAAGGTTGTCCCAAGTTACCTACATGGTCTCAGGAACGATTTCTCAAAGTGACAGTCCACAGACTACCATTCTGCATCAGAGTGAATGATGGGATCTGCTTAAATGCAGATTCCTGGATCCCACTCCAAGGCCACTAAATCAGATTCTCTGCAGGTGTGATCCAGGAATCTGAACTTCAACAAGTTTTCTGAGCAATTCTGAAGTGCACTAAAGTGTGAGAAACATCGAGTGGAAGAGGACAGAGCAAAGGTAAAAAGGTGAGAGCCCAGGAACAATGCAGTGGGCCCTGAGGTGCATGAATGGAAGAATATTGACCTATAAAGGTAACTTGAGGTTAGACCACAAAAGGCCTTCACTGTCAGAGTCGGGGTTTGATATGTATTTGAGCGGCAACAGGGAGTCATCCCTTTCAGTGGCAGAACACTGTGGTTAAAAGCCTGAAATATGGAGCCAGGCTACCAGGATTCAAATTTAGCTCTTCAACTCACTAGCTACCTGACCTTGGGTAAGATTCTTAACCTCTCTCTGCCTCAGTTTCCTCATCCATAAAACAGGGAGAACGACAGTACTCATCACATAGGGTTGTCATGAGATTAAGTGAGTTCATATCTATAAAATGCTTAGAGCTGGGACTGACATATAGTAAGTCCAAATAGATGTTGGAATACAATTTTTGAACAGGGGTGTAACACGGTGATGGATCACTTTTTGGAAGATTAAAATGGCAGTAATATATAGGAGTCACCTACGCATCCCCCACCAGCAAATCCTATAATTTTTTTCCTCTAACTCAGTGGTTCACAACCTTAGCTGCATATCTGAATCACCTCCTCCTCCTCCTGATCTGGTATAAGTCTACCAAGGTAATTCCAATATGCACCCATGGTTGAGAACCAAGGCTCCAAATATATTTCAAATTTGTCCACTTCTAATTATTGAGTCCTCAGTATATACAAGACACTGTGCCAGGTCCTTCTCTTATCTCATTGAAATCTCACAAACATCTTGAAGGTAGGAGCTAACATTATCCTCACTTTAAAGATTGGTAGAAAGGTTGAATAAAGTCATCCAACTACAAAGTAGCAAGGCTGGGATTAGAACCAAGGCAGTTTGGCTCCAAAGGCTCCACTCTGAACCACTACTGTGTTCCCAGTCCAAGCACTCGTTTTCTCACACTGAAAAGAGTACTACCCTAACCATCTTGCTAGTCTCTCCACTTGCATTATTGCCTCCCTCCAATCTAGTCTGGACACAGTAGCCAGTGAGATCTTATAATATGTTAATTGGATCACTTCATACTCTTTCTCACAACCTTCCAATAGCTTCCCAATGCATTAAAAATGGGCATCCAAAATCCTTCCCATGGCCCTCAGAGTCCCGCATGGTCTAACTTCTAGTCACCTCTCCAGCCTCATCCCATGCCAGTTTCAACCACAGTCACTACATTTCAGCCACACTGGTCCTTAGGCTCTTTGAATGCTCTAAGCTCTTCCCTGCCTGGGGCCTTTGAACTTTCCTTTCGCTCTACTTGGAATGCTCTTCTTTGGGCTCTTTGCATGGATGACTCCTTTTTAATCTTTCAGGTCTCAGCTTAAATGTCACCTTCTCAGAGAGGCCTTCCCGACAACTCAATCTAAATAAACTACTTATTTTTTGTCTCAGTCCTTTGTTTATTTTCTGCATAGTACTCACATTGTCTGTATTTTCATGTTTGCTTATTATTTGTCTTTTCTGGTGAGTTCCATAAGAGCAAAGAACGTATCTTGGCTGCTATGTATGCTATATATATATTGTTGTGTACGTTGTGTACTGCAAAAGGATGCCACAGCTACAGGGGTGCATTCCTTGGGATTTTCTGAAAAATGGCAATAAAGTATCTTACGTAAGGGAATCCTTTTTGTAACTCACATAAAGATGACATATGGTCTAGCACCGCCCTATATGTCTACTGTATTTATCAATATAAATACCCCAATTCTAGCACAATGCTGAGCATACAGTAGATGGTCAAAAAATATGTTGACTGGACAGAAGGAAAGAGGACAAAATTAGGATATTGCCAGTGGGAAAGTGGGAAAAGGGAGAGATACAGATAACTGCCGACAGATTTGGTAATTTGAGAAGAGGTAACAAAGGAGAAATTAAAGGGGATTACATTTGATCCCAGGAACCTACAGAAAAAAACTAGTGCCTATATATATATATAGAAACCTAAAGAAGAAAAGACTGATGTGAGAAGATAATTCAATTTTGAATATAATTTGAGAAAATGCTTTCTGTTTTTGCTTTTACTGAGTTTGTCACCATCTTATTATGGGGTTTTAAAAATATACCTAAATTTGCCCTGCACAGTCTTCAAAATGGCCACATCAGTTCTTTGCAAGGTCCACTCTTCCTTTTAAGGCTATGAACGAAAATAGTCTGTGTTTTATGATACAATAATTTAAGGGCCAAGCTAGAAGGGATTAAGGATGGAGAAATAAATATATTCACTTTCACATTTGATGACTCTCTCCCATCCTCCCCTGAAGCACAGCAATCCATCCAGTGCAGTTTTTTTTTTTTTTAAGACTGTGGTCTTTAAAAACAATGTTTTAATTACTTTTGCCCTTTGTTAATTAAACTACCTTTAAAAACTAAGGCTACCATAAAAATTACCTTTCCCTAGGACACTGGACAGGCATTTTCCTCTTTTCTGAATTCTACTACACAGGATAGCACCACCCAGGGCTCTTGGGATATAACACACCTACCTCTGCATACCCGGCAGCAGGAATCTGGAACAGAGACTGGGAAGGCACAGGTTAATTTGGGGCAAGTCTTGAGACCACAATACACATTTCCCTCCTGCCAAGGAGAAATAGAATTAAGATCAGAAGCATCTAGGATAAGTGTAAAGGCTTCACTTAATACCTGAGATAGAGCAGGGACTCAGAACATGGCATGTCCTTCCCCCCAGCTCTCCCATTGTCAGTTCTCGGTACTTCCCACATTTTATTACACATTATTTTTTTTCTCCTACAATTCCTCCATGCCAGAGACTAAGTCACAGAAAAGTTAGCAATCCTAGTCGAGCATCATGGTCTAAGGTGGTACAAAGTAGTCTGTCAGGGATGCCACTGAGCCTTTGAACCACCAATTATAGTCTTGTTTCTTTCTTCTCTTTTCATGGCATCCTTGGTCCTCCAGCTGGATTGGGGGTTTAAAGGAATGAAGATTTATTTCATAGCTTTCATTTGTAATATTCACTAGACTCTCCCTTCCAAACCAAAGGAACAAGCTCTCTGGGATAATACAAAACTATACAAGATGATCTGATGGTCACAGCTCAGTCTTGCACAAGGCAAGGGAGAGGATAAAATTTACTTGGTGGTTACATCTGTCTTTGCAATAATCCTGATTTCCTAAATTTCTATCTTCCAAATGTTATTCCTTAAACCTTGTTCTTAGTTCTTAGAAGCATATTCTTCTAGGGCTAGAAGGGTTCCTGGAAGGCCATTAGGAAAGCAAGTCCACAATGAAATTCTCCTAAATTTATGATTATGATTTAATGCAACTCATGTTTTATTCAAACACCTGACAGTGCAGGCACAAATGGAAGTACAAATACAGAGGAAGCTCTTGTATTTGGGTAGGGCCTGGCAGGAATGTTAAGATGTATGGTCTTACCGAACAGCTGCACTGGGTGCATTGATTGGGTTGCCGATTCTGAAAGAGCCCTTCAGCCACGAACAGCTCTCCATGTTGGTAAGTTGTCCCATTGTACTCGCAAGACTTGCTGGTCACCTTATTGTTCACTGGGGGCAAGGAGTCTTCTAGAACAGGGTGGAGAAAAACTACACTGAGTATTGGCATCATTGAAAAGAATTTCATAAATCCCAACAGCAGATGGACCTGTACTACATAGAGGGAGTTTTAAGACAGTCCTTGCTCCAGTGGCCAATGATTTTAAATAACATTAAAATAGCCAGACAAATATAGCAGCTGACATTACCATCTATCCATCCATCCATCCATCCATCCAACCATCTATCCATTCTTTTATTTGTTGACCATTTACTGAGCACCTACTATGTGCCGGGAATTGTAATATGTGTTAGAGAGGGATCAGAGAACACGGACAAGGTCCCTGCCTAGACGGAGCTAATATTCCTAGATGAATAAGATATTATCTTTCCTCAAAGGAAGGAGTCCATGCTACCTCTATTTAATCTTTTCCCCCGGTTGCTTCAGAAGGGGACCCATCTATTATAACTGCCCTGGTAACTTTATTCCCTCCAACATTTATTTATTTATTTATTATTTAGAGACTGAGTCTCACTCTGTTGCCCAGGTTGGAGTGAATGGTGCGAGCTCTGCTCACTGCAACCTTTGCCTCCTGGGTTCAAGCGATTCTCGTGCCTCAACCTCCCAAGTATCTGGGACTACAGGCGCCTGCCACCATGCCTGGCTATTTGTTACTATTAGTATTAGTAGTAGTAGAGATGGGGTTTCACCATGTTGACCAGGCTGGTCTCAAACTCAATTGATCCACCTGCCTCATCTTCCCAAAGTGCTGGGATTATAGGTGTGAGCCACGGCGCCCAGCCACCACCCACATTTTAAATCACTTTTGTGCTTATCTATTTGTTCCAGCCTCTGTGGTTTTGCTTATTTTTAATCCCTCCACCAAGACTGCCCACTCCCCGACTCTTTTCTACCCATTGAAGTCCTATCTGATCTTGAAGGTTCAGCTTATGCCCCCTTTCCTCCACGAAGCATTCTCTAAATAACTCCAGCCACAATCTGGACCTCTCAAGGCATCTAATGTCTGAAGCACACAGTATGACATTTGAATATTATTGAAACTCATATTTGTGAATTATAGTAACCCAGCAGACCATTTACAAAGAGATTTCACATATATTATTACAATGGAGCTTTATAACAACCCTGTGAATCAAGTAGGGTAAATTCTTACCTTCATTTTCATTTTAGGGAAATAGGGTTGCTGAGGTTATGTGAATTATTTGAAGTCACAAAGCTAGTGAGTGGTGAAAAAAGGAACTGAAACCAACAATAGATACAACCAGAGCTTGGAAAGTGCCTGCCATGAGACAGTGGAAGGAGAGAAATCAGGGGAACTGTATGTTTCATTAAGGAGGGGCTTAGAGAGTTGAACCATCCTTTCTTTCCATCAGTCAAAACTATAAGGAATATGAATCTAGTTTATGGTGGGTAAGTTGTACCTCAATACAACTGTTTAAAAAAACAGGCATGGTGGCTCACGTCTGTAATCCCAGCACTTTGGGAGGCCAAGGCGAGCAGATCATGAGGTCAGGAGATCGAGACCATCCTGGCTAACACAGTGAAACCCTGTCTCTACTAAAAAATACAAAAAATTAGCCAGGCATGGTGGTGAGTGCCTGTAGTCCCAGCTAATCAGGAGGCTGATGCAGGAGAATGGCATGAACTCAGGAGGTGGAGCTTGCAGTGAGCCGAGATTGTGCCACTGCACTCCAGCCTGGGCGACACAGCGAGACTCCATCTCAAATAAAACAAAACAAAACAAACAAACAAACAAAAGAATGAAATCATTCTCAGGATGTAGTGAAAACGATAAGGCTAACAATAATAACATCCATAATAATAATAATACAATAATAGATACCATTTATCAAGCCCTAGCTATGTGCCAGGCAGGAGTGAGTGCTTTTACATACATAATCTCATTGGCTCTTACTAATAATGTTCTGATGTAGACATTATGATTATGCCCATTTTGCAGATGAGGAAACTAAGGCTTAAGAGATCAATTGACTTACCCAAGGTGACACAACTTGCAAGTAGCAGCACTAAGATACAAATTGATGTCTGACTGATTCTAGAACCTTCTCTCATAGCCACTATCAAAAAGAGTGCCAATCACTTTAAACTTATAATAAGGAAGGGACCATTTAATTAAAAACCAAAACCCAAACCACTAGAACATGAAGGCTATGCTGTCCCTAATGTTGTGGCCTAAAATACCCAGACAACAGACAATGCGCTTCCTTTGGCTTCAGGGATTTGGGTAACTAACTCAATTCTATACTTCGCTATATAAACTGATCTAACATCTATTTCTGAGCAATTCACTCTTAGAGTGTTAACTACTTATTAATGACCCTTTACAGGATATAAAGAAAGTTCCTTACTTTTGCCTATAAAGACAGCCTTAGCTCCTAGAAAGAGTTTAATTCATACTAATTGACTCTCTGTCTGGGCTAAGAGGCCCTGCCCCTGCCCACAAGCGTATACAATCAGACAGCTGCAGCTGGCAGACATGAGTGAAACCCATCAGAGAAAGGACAGAAGCAGACCCATTTGCCCCTTGGGCTCTAATTATTTCAAATCTCAGCATTATGTGGTGAAGGAAAACTACAGTGACCTACAAAATAATATTTGCCATGGCTCTTACAGGAGCTGGCAGATGTTTGGAATACCAAACAAACAACAACAACAAAAGAAGTTTGGAATTATTTTGCCTCAAAAGAATGTGGCTTGAGTTTTGAACCAGGCCTTCTACCAAGGGATCAATGGCAAGGCAACTGCAGGGTGAGATTTTCCAGCGAAAGAATGATCTTGAGAATCTTCCTTGCAATAGTCTTCTGAGTAACCTGGCATTGGAGTCTTATTCTACTCAATAGGAGATAAGGAGAAAGAGAAAGAGAAAGAGAGGAAGACACAGTAGAATCAAAGAAAAAGAAACCAATTATGGTCATGCTTAAGGCTAGTTTTATGCAATAAAAGTCTTAACATCTTCTCATTCTTATTTCATTCTTCCAACAACCTTAATGGTGTATATGTTAGCGGTGGGGGCGAATTACTGAAAATGAGGCTACTAGTACTCCAAAAGATTTGTCCCATGTCACACAGCTGTTTAACAGGAGAGCCAACTCAGAAACATAGCTTTCCTGCCTTCAAATTTGTGCTCTTCACAGAATGGGTGTTAAAGCTTCAGAGTAGGATCACTGAGTCATAATCCCAACTCAGTGGTACCGACTCCCCACAATCTTGTACAAGGCACTTTACCTCTTTAAGCCTCAATATTTCTAGGAATGCGATATGGACTCAAATCTCCCCTTGCATCTTTAGAGGGCCAACACAGCATGCTTCCTAACTGCGGAAGGAAGAAAAGCCACCTCACACTTTACCTTCTCCTCTCCCAGATTTTCAAAGTTGGCTGGGCTAGTAACCAACTATCCTTGGAACATATTCCGGGTTCCTGACTGAAAACTAGCAGAAAATCACTTCAAAGCAAAGCTGGTTACAGGGCCCCTCAGGGAATGCTACAATAGGAAGGACCAGGCTGCATGACTTCTAGCCTCCCCCATCTCTTCTGTTTCCAGTCAAATTCCCACCTAGCACTAAAAGGAGAACTGGAGAAAAAACCATCATAGGGTGAGCAGATAAGCACTAAGCCATGTGACCACAGATGTGTTGGGAAAGAGGAGGTTTCTTCTCCCCAAGTGAGGGATGATCTCATATGTAAGTAGAACTATGATTTCCGGGATGCTCAAAAAATATCCCCTTATCCTAAATGTCTCTTACCACCTTTTCTCACACTGATGCTTAAAATGCCACTATTGGAAGTCCATTCCTCTAGGTTAAATGGCTGCCTTTTGCAATCAGATTTTATAATCCCAAGACTTCTATGAGAGGGTACACTTACACCTTGTCACTAACTAACACCCCAGTGTCAATAACTGCCACAGACCTTTTTTTTTTGGTCCTTCAGAACAACTGGCAAATTTTACCACGAAGTCTGTGGTTCCACTTCACTGCTTTTTGTACACCTTCTCTCCTCTCCTGGTGCTACCCTTCTTCCCACACGCTGGAACCAAGTCCTCATACTGACTGCTCTCTTCCCCACTCTCCCCACCCTATAAAATGATCATTTCCATAGTAGGACAGTTATTGGATAGTCAGAAAAGCAGCTTGCACGTCAGGAGAAAAATCTACTCCCAATGTTATAAATACGAACCTCCCCAGAGCTTTCAGAGATCAGTTGCTAATCTCCTTGATGCCAAGCCATCTTTTCTTTTGCCATTACTGCCATTACTTTGGTTCCTACTTTTCTTCTGATGGCTGAGCCTGATTCTAGCATTTCTTTGGTTCTCTGTCATTCTACTGATACAGTCCTGGAACATTTGCAGGCTGTTGGGGGGGTGGTGGGTGGAGAAGCGACATGGAAATGAAGGTAAAGGCTAGAAAGAAGAGGTTATATTCTCTTTAATTACCCATGACACACAGAGAGACACATACATCCAACAAAGTAAAACTATATCATGTAAAGGGCTTTACCCCGGGTCTCAGAAATATATGGGAAGAGAGAATGACAAAAAGGCCACGAAAGAAACCCCTAGAATAGGATGCTGTTCCTTTGTGCGTATCTCACAGCGATGCAAGAGAAAAAAACTGAGCCTGGTCTTTGGGGTCTGCAGACATTGGTCTCTGAGGTCCCAGCTGCTATGATCCGAATATTTGTGTGCCTCTGAAATTCATATGTTGAAATCTTAACCCCCAAGGTGATGGCTTTTAGGAGGTGGGGCCTCTGGGACGTTATTAGGTTATAAGGGCAACATCCTCATGAATGAGATTAGTGCCTTTATTAGAAGAGGCCTGTGGGAGCTTGTTTGCCCCTTCTACTATATAGGCTCACAGGGAGAAGGCATCGTTTCTGAACCAAAAACCAAGCCCTCATCAGAGAACAAATCTGATGGTGCCTTGATCTTGGATTTCCAGCTTCCAGAACTGTGAGAAATAAATTTCTGTTGTTTATAAGCTACTC